ATTGATTTGAATAAGTAACAATATATTAATTTTATATATGATTTTTCAACACAAAACAAAAGATGCTGTAAGATGACATAGCATTGGTTCTTCTCATTGGTTATAGGTATCACCCTTCAGCAAAAACAAAATTACTTTTGGTAAATAATTTCTGTAATATTTAGTTATACAGCAAAACTGAATGTTTTCCAAGTGTCGATATCACAAGCATGCCTCAAACAGGGGAACATAATAACCACGAAGTGGGTAGCAGTTAGCTAGAAAGTGTTTACATTATAACGCACGGAGACCTCCTTATAAAAATTTAAAATATGCATTTAGATCATAAAGTAAGGTCTGAAACATAATATTTCTGCGTCTGCAGCTTTCAGGTGAAAAAATTAATAAGTTAGTGGTCACGTTTCAATTATTATTTAAAAAAATATTGATGAACAAATACTGCATTACATATTATGAATGTACCGATAATTTACTCTCTAAAGAAAAAAATACTGTCTAACTTGTACAGTACACTACACGGCTTGTACGGTACTTGTACGGTAGGCTACGCCAAAAAGTTGTCCCTACAAACGGTTATACTTTACATTTGGGTTCATAGTACTAAGGTATCGTAGTAAGTTGTGTGATGGTTTTATTCCGTCAGCTCTGATGAATGTTTTTTATACGCCGAAACGGTCTACTAGATCATGATGTTTTTAATCACTTCTGCAATAGCTTACTTTATTATTTGTTAATGGTGGTGAAGCACATGCGATCGTTATTATTATTATTATTATTATTATGATTATTATTATTATTGCAATTTGTGTTAAACAGCACATACAAGTGTTAGTTTTTACCCAAAATATACACACATAAGTGTCAAACCTTTTCACATATCCTCACGAATATTTTATTTCGAATAATAACGAAACCCATATCACAAATTCCTAAAGAGTACAACTACTTTGTGAACACAAATTCTATTCATTTAATACCTACACTATATTTTATAAATAATGACAGAAGCATAAATTCTCCACATATTGATATATATTTCTACGAAGTCTATTGTGAAGTGTAACCAAGTATTAGAAAAAAAAGATCGTATGTAAAATATTTTGGGCGGAAATGTTTTGTCCGGTGGAAAATATTTTTGGAAGAACGTTATTAATCTGTAAATGTTTCAAATAAAACATTGTATAATATTTTGGCTTTATGGATATAACAATGAAACAATATATATTAAAATTACCTGTCTCATTGCAGCATGTAAATCGAATAGATATGAGGTCAAGCGTGGATATGTTAGATTATATTCAAGGATCTGAAAGGATAAATTAATAAAGTAAAAGATACCAAGGTAGTTATATAATATTTCAAATATTTTATTTTTATGGTAAAAGAAAATGCATTTTTGTGGAAAGTAAATCAGTTCTTGAGACATAATGAAACTCATGACATTGAAACTTATTATCGGCGTGTAGCAGCCACGATGCTGCTGAACAAAACAAAGTAAAATAGTTTTCCAAAATGTAGCAGGCACGCTGCATAAGAAAAACAAATACAATTTTATCTTATAACACTTTGATAAATAAAATACTTTTCAAAACTAGCCTTCTCAAATACTACAATAATAGTATTTTTAATATAGTAATACAATATGAACGGAGTATTACGGTCAGTTTATTAGTGGTCAGATTATTACGGAATATTACGTCAGTTCCTTAATACTAAGAATATAAAAAAACTATGTTCGAAAACACAACATGTGAATAGCAAATATTTAAAGACGGGCATACTCTTCCTCTAATTCTTGCTATCGCATGGGGTTGTTAGTGTCGCACTGACGGACTGACTATGAGAACGTATGAGGTGGTAAGTGCAGTATGAGAACATAAGGACCAATCATATAGTTGCATTTTTAAGTCAAAAGCTAAACTGGTTTACTATATTTTTCGAGATTCTGGGTATCTAATCAATTCATAAACCCAATTCACTTAGCCAGGAGGTTGCATCCTTATCTTTCAACTTCTGTGCGTTGTATATGTATATTTTTTTGTATTTATCCAGAATTCTCGGGTATCTCACAAAACTATTCCTTCCTCTCAGAATATCTGGGGCTGCATATTCTACTTTTAATTTCTGCCAAAATTGAATATTTATAATGTAAATATTTTATAATAGAGAGATATTTTGTTTCTTCTACTCTCTTGCAATAATTTGTTCTGCTATTATATGGTAAAGAAAATTTTGAAAGTGTAGGATTCTCCGGATTCAGTAGCTAATTGGCTCTCCAAGAGACGCCGGGTCCTAGACACAGGTGCCAACATGCATTTCGCCCTGAGGAAGGTCACATAATATCGGCAGAAACGTTGGCCCCTGTTTAGGACATGACGTATGCCGGACAGCCAAGTAGTCAAGGAAAATCTTATTCGGAATGGGCATTTTTTTCAAGTGATGCACACAATTCTAAATATTCCTTACATAATAATTAAGAATGGTTAAATATTTCAAAATATTCCAATTTTCTTCAATATCTAATTATTATTTTTGACCAATTTAAAGAGACTAATTTTTAAAACAAGAACATATACAATTAAGAAAAATTAACCAACTAAAACAAACTGAAAATAACGTAACCAATATTTTAAATATTGTATTCCACAATTCTATCGCTCCAGGTTTGGTGTCTTGATAAGAACGCTCAAGTAGATTTCATAAAACCAAACCTACCATATAAATTTAAACTACGTAGGAGAAAAACGTAGTTATTATACCAAATATTCTTTTTTACGGTATGAAATATTCATGTTAACGGTAATTATTTTTCAGGAAATACCAGGAACCTATAGGTATTTGTGTAGCAGTACTACATTGTTTTGGAGAATTATTTTAATTGAGCTGGATGCTATAAGCTGATAAACATACTCTACGGAATCGAGTGTAGAATAATAGGTGCACAAAACGGAAACTATTTCATAACTAGCCGCATAAAGACACTGGTTAGCACACTGAGGCATTTGATAGTACAAATACTTGAAGAAACTGAAAATAGAAAGCATGTAAGAGGATGGAAAAATGGTAAATGAATTGAAGATTTAAAGAATATATAAAACAAAAATATTGGTACATGACGGAAAAACAAGGAGAGATTATTCCCTATAAAAACCTTAAATTGAACACATGACGACAATAACGATAAATAACATTTTGTTAATGTAGCCTTGTGGTAAGATGATATTTTGGTAAACTCATTTCAGAACATTGCACCGTCATTCATATATTTAATTAATCCATAAAATATAATAATACTCCAAACTTCTGAGGACATAGTCTTTTTAGTCTGCATTGTAGACAAAGGAATGATTAACATTTATAAGAACTTAAAATAAACGCTACACCATTAAAAAGTTCCATGAATAGGAAGAAGTATCCATTCACAGTACTCCATTTTGTTTCACGACATCCGCTTCCAAAATTTGCTTGGCAGTAGCCGCTCGAAACTCTAAGTTTCACATTAATCTCAATCTTTCCGACGCTTCAAATAGTTGTACATTTTCATTCTTAATTTTAAATTCGGAACCCTCACCGTTATTTATTGATCTTTGCTCTATCTCAGGTAAAAATTAAAAATTTGAAGATATAGAGTTTCTTTTTTTTTAATGCATTAACGTGTAGCAAATATCACGTGAAAACTACTCTCTTCTCTTTCAAAAATGTAAACAAGACTTTATTCATTGATTCTTATTTTAAAAAGTTCATTATGAAAAAAATTTATCCTAAATCTCATTCTTTTTAACGTTAGGATTTTGTAATATTCTAAAATATAGTTTGCCGAAAATTAATTATGAGCCATTTTCTGCATCTTGTTCCATATCCGTCAGAAAATTTAAAAAAATACATTGTTGAGACAATCAATGTTTAAAAATTGCATATGTTTTTAAATCAATTGTCTGCACGGGTTTCCGTCACAAAAATATCGATGTCGATTACCTTCAGCCACATTCATTCTCATTCTCTAATGACTGAAATTTGGATCATTCTTTTTGTAAGGGAGGTCACCTGTACACTTAAGGAGGCTTCATTCGGACAACTCTTTATCAATGGGGATTATCTGTGTTATTGCGCTCACTGACACGTAAACATGCGTCGATAATTCCTGCAGATATTTTGATTTGCCCCGACCACAAAAACGCGTATCTGAAGTGGCCATACTTATATATAACACGTGGAATCGGAATTTCATTGGTTAAATATTATTACATTCCCTGTTACTTTTACCATATATAATGAGTCCAAAAATACCGTGTATGTATAAAAATATCGGAAATGTATTCAACAACATTGATTATAGATTATGACTTTTTCTTAAGGCGTGCAGAGGCACTCTGTGAACACAAATTTTGTCTGCTACTGCAGAATATTGTGGAACACTGAGTAACCGAACGGCCACACATCATTCCATACACATGTAACGTTACCACATAACATGGATCTATGAAATACAAAATTGTTAATCGTAAATACTCTATTAAAGTAATTTGCTATTACTTTAATAGATTATTCTATGTCTACTGCTATATTAAGTAGCCATGAGGTGTCAATTTTTGATTCGGCACGTACTTCCGCAATTATTACAATCTTGCTGTTGCTCCAACGAAAATAAAACATTATTAATTTATAAGATTTTAAAAAAATAAAAAAAGTAGAATATCACTACGGAAACATTTTAAACTAAATTTTTCATTAAGAAACAAAATGTCACGAGTTGAGGTAATGTTCAGAATAGAATGAACATATAAGATATTCTAAAAGACTGAGTATTTCAGTAACTACTATAATAAATGTATGTGTCTATGAGATACATCTAGATCGAATATTTTTGTTCTGTTTCCTCTGACACAGCGGACAAATGGTTCCTTACTTAACTGTTAATGAAACCTTTCTCACCTACCAAGTGCTACATTTATTTTTAAGTGTTTTTAGTGTAGTAAATAAAGAAATCAATTTTTACTCACGGAAGCATGATGTTGGTCAGAATACAAGCTCGCAGTCCCTGCCTAAAACAGACGAGACGAAATTTTTGAAAATAAGTTATAATAAGAATCAATAAATTATAATTTTTGAAAATTAGTTATAATATAGCAAATTAAGTTATAAAAAAGAATAAATATATACAAAATATACATTTAAAGATAAGAGGAATTGAAAGCACTGTTCATAAAAAAATACGTAGTATTAAAAAGTTAAAAATTTAATATCTCGTATAATTTAACTATTACCAGATCACAAAGAAACCAAACTAGTATATTTAACAAATCACGTTTATAAATTACAAGAACATACGAATTTCTAAAAATTATTTACTTCAACGACCTCTTGTTGGGGTCTTTATTGCTTTGTCTTCATTAAGAGATAAATATAAATTTGTACAAATTAATAATATATAATACACATTCATTAGGAAACCTTAGGGAAACATGCGGATTATCAAATTATAGACAGCAGCATGTTTTGTTATAGATAAGAGTAAAATAAATAAGCGGAACAAATAAGCTGTATTTAAATTTGATGACCTCTCAGAAATGTTGGTACTACATACAATCTTAGTCTTAGGTAGGAGCAGTTGTCTGTTTTTGCTAAGATGGGGATACATCAGATGATTTACTTCGGTTTCTTCAGTCTGCTTTCGCCGAGGTTGAATACCAAGAAAAGATTTTCCAAACAGGGAATTGAGAAACCTGATGGCTGGCGGATTACGATGTGTCGTAAATGGACTGGTATATTCACCTATTAATTTTTAATAGACTATAACTAGGGGCTAAAATATTTGTGGTTTTTACTTCTGTTAAAATAGTGTATTGAGGAATTTAGCTCTTATAAAATCTTTTTCTTTTTTTTGTTTTGAAACACGGGTTGCGTATACGTGTTATGAAGAGTGACTTTTTAATCAAATAGGCTATTGAGAAAAATATGTTTTTTTTCATTTGAGGCACACACCTTTAGAGTTCTTTACGGTGTTGAAATTGGAAAAACCTGCAATAAAGATACCAAATGTCGAAGGTGTAGAGAGATTAATGAAAGATGGAACCGTTCTGACAGTCATTACCACTGACTACTTGGCTACTACTGGCATCGTAACTGCAGATTATGTCCATGTGCTCAATTCGTCAATGCGTTCATATGCACATGGGTCACTTGCAAAATGATTCGTCACTACTTCCTGCAAGTCATCAACCAACTTTGATTTGTTTTACGATCTGTCACACTGGTCGCTTATTACAGTAATTTCTCTACACATTAAGTGGTTTGCAAATTAGTTGCCTACAACACGTCAGATTGTAGTCGTGTTTGTAGTTCACATTAAAAACTATATTTTTAATTGGAATTCAGAAAACACTAGTTTAAAGTAAACCGACGTGGTTTTCGGGAAGCCCTAGGCATACATATGGGGTAAACAATAGAACACGTACTGCAGTGGTTTCGAGTGATGATTTGGTCTACGTTCTTAAATTTACCGACAAGACTGTTTCATACATGAATGTATTGAATACTTTCAAAACTTATTTTAATACGCCACAATTGTGCTCAATTATATTTGATTTTGTTAATTTTTTTGATAAACGCACGTTTTTGGAAGTTCAACAAAAGTACATGAATAATATCTGGAATACTGTATCAAAAAATGTAAAATTGCGAGTGCTTGACCGAAATGTACAGTTTTATTAAAAACTATTCTGATACAAAATCCATATTTTTTATAACCGCAGACCAACAAATTCACGAAAATTTATTTAAACAATATGGGGGACAAATACATAAATGCACAAAGGACGTTAAATAGATTTTTCATCAAATTTTAAGAAAATTTAATTCTGATTTCCCTTCATATATTTTAGAGTAAATCCACGTACACGTGTGTGTCAATGAAAGAAAAGACTTAGAAAATAGAATGAGGCCTTCGAGTAGTGTATTTTGTTTTCTGTACGAGGTATAGTGGTCGCCTCCTTTATCCTCGTTATCAAGCATCACTGTGGCTATCTATCACTTCATTCGTTTGCATTTACTCCACAGTGAGGAAACCTGTTTTTCTATGGGGAGAGGTTTTTCTGTGGCCGGTGCACCCTTATTATGACTGCAACTGAGCATGTGTTGCGCAGTGCGTTTGGAAATGCATTTGGGATTGGCATGAGTGAACTCCCACCGCGGCGCCATGCTCATTCAGTTCGTGGGAATAACGTTATCTGTTAACAGTTGTATCAGGCGATATGTGTGGTAGGAATCAAGGCGAGTTGTATCTCGAGTGGGACGCCACACAGTCAGCTGAACACGGACTCTGATGGACTGCGATCAGAAACCGCTTTGCAAGGGATGGAAGGGAGTTCGTAAAAGTCTTTGACTCTATTTTTGCAACAAACCTCAAAAGAGTAACATCATTTAATAACCTGCTCGTTGGTGAAGGTTTATATGGCTACTTCTCGTATATTTGAAACTGTTCCAACATGGCAGACGTTTGAACATATCAGACTGCATCTAGAAGATGCAATTCGACCAAGTAAATATGTCTGTTTCACACCGGTAAAAATAAATTGAAGCGATGTTGTCACTATATCAAAATAGTCCACTAAAACAAATTAATCTTAAGTTTATAAGAATGCTGATTAGTAAATATGTAGTGTATCACTATGTTAGTTCTAATATGTGTATTAGTCTTAATGGAAAGGTTTCGACAACACGGGTCAGTAAATATTATATATTAAGAAGTGACTCATATGCTCGAAAGATAAAAAGTGGCATACTCTAAAAAATAAATGGAGGTTCATTAATTCACTATTTAAATTCTTTTTTCATATTATAACTGTTTCATCAAACAATAACATATATATTACTCTTAATTAATGTTTGAAGAAATTGAAAGAAAACTATGCATCCACATGTATTTTAAGAGGAGTCCATGTTTTTATTAGATACCCAGAGATTCAGAAAGAATACAAAACAGTGAAATAAATTATATACTACGAAGAAATTAGGGTACATAGATACATATTTATACACAGACAAATCTGGAATAATAATGTCATTCATTATTCCGCAGCAGTTTCAGGAATTGGTGTCCCCATAATCAAGCTGTGAAATTAAATGATAAAAACATAGAGTAAAAAAGGGTCAAAATTATTTATTAAACAATAAAAAATGGAGAAATTGTTAAAAGTCATAACTTACCTGACCCGAGAACTCACAAAACAAATAACAGAAAGTTTGTATAATAGCATAATAATACGGCTAATTGGTCAAACAATTTCTCCATTTCTTTATTGAATAGTAAATATTTTTACTCTCTTTACACAATGTTTTCATCATTTATTTCACAGCCTAATGATGGGACAACAATCTCTGAAACTGTTGCAGAATAATTCTCATAAGGAAACTGTTATTCCAAGATTGGCTGTCTATAAATATGTATCTATGGACCCAAATTCCTTCATGATATACAACTGATATACAAGACAAGCTAAATAGATGGAAATAAGAAATAGTTTCAAAGAGTATAGACGGATACGGCAGTAAAAAGAGAAAGAGAATATAAAATGTCTAAGATTCACAAAAAAATCAACCTCCCAGGGTAATCTGTTGCAGAGATACAACAAGAAATGTGTTTGTCGTGTTTTATATTTTCACAGTATCTATTGCATATATCAGGCAGAAAAAAAATTACTGAAGCGGGGACAAATATTTGCATTATACGGTATTTTTGTCATTTATTTTTGTCGCCAAATTCCAATAGAAAAATATACATAAATTTTGTAAATTGGTTTTTGACATTATAACGTTACAGTTCTGACACAGTTTCCCTTCCTAGAATGGGTCTTATAATTTTCTAATACATTTTTTCAGATTGTTTTAAACAGTGTAGTGAAATAAATTAAAAACAATTTTATCAGTTTAAAAATTTTCAATTTAGTCCGTCACTGGTCACGTCATAGCTTACATTATGCTCGCAATACTGTTATATTGTGTCCATATATTCTATACTATTTTATTGGAAAATCAGTGAAATTTGTTAAAATATTTAATTTATTGCAGTTTATTACGAGATAATTGTGCGAAAGAATGTTGTTCATAAGATTGTGCGTGTTACATTTTGGAAAACCATTTTGTGTGGTTTTGTTAAACAGCATTACCAGATCGATAATCTGAAATTGTAATGAAATCCATCATAATTTAGTGTTTGTTTCATTTTACATAAAATATATAGTATATTAATATTTCACTACTTAAGAAGCATCAGAACATTCAGATTAAGTTCAGAAACGCAATACATTGAAACCGTATTCCTGATCAGAAAAAAATTAAATTAATGCGTGCAAATATTTTGAAGTTCTTTTTCTCCGTCTTCTTCTTCTTCTTCTTCTTCTTCTTCTTCTTCTTCTTCTTATTATTATTATTATTATTATTATTATTATTATTATTATTATTACTATTATTATTACGACGACGTGAGACGACAGTTACATTATATAAAATATACACCATGAAGTAACCAGCTGCTGGTCGGATGTTCCCCAAAACCACCGCTTTTATGCGAAGTGGCGGTGCCTTCAGCTTAACTTTCGATCTAGATCATTCGACTTTCTCCCCCCGACTGAGACTGGCAAAGCACCGGGCACTGGCCATGGTTTCCCCACTCTAACATCGAAGTGACCGACGAGCCCGTATTTTCGGAATGTACTTTCTAATCCATAATTTCGTAGATCGTGGGCCGCTACATGCCAGCCCGTAATTAGTGAAGGGGCATGGCCGCATCTCGGTAGCGCTCCGCTGTGTCCGCAGGACCGTACGAAACGCAACTTGATGTCGCCTGCCCCACACTGGTACCGCCCGCAGAGCAAGCACTGGGGGAGGGGGTGGCATCGTCAGAGAGAAGCGTGCAAATGCCTCTGGTGCTAGTGCATGCTTCTATGCCACCCAAACGTTATAGGAAAGTTAGGAATTGTGGAGAGAGTGATGCATGGGGGTAGGACAAAACGCAGGTAAATAACTGTGTCTTTGTAGAACTCAAC